CCCACACCGCCTCTGAGGCGGGGAGGGTCCCTCAATGCGAACTATTTCTTTTTTTTTTTTTTTTAAATACCCCCTGTACTGATTCGGCATCCTCAGGCAGAATCTTAGGTCGCAAGTGCAAGGCGGCCAGCGTGCTGGTTGCGTTTCCTCAAGCGAAGGCACATCCTGCACTAAGAACGGGTAACGGCCCACTCAGAGGCAGGAGATTTTAGGCTTTTGCTGTTTTCTAGTTCTGTCTCATGGGCTGCAGAACTTACAGAAAACCCTTGTCACATCACCCTTAATGTTACATTGATCTTCTTATGCATTTCTAAGCAACTTGTCATTAAATCACTGTGCAATAGACACAGCGATTAAACCGTCCGTGTGGTGAACAAATAACCCAACTCTCTGGAGCAAGCGTCCTGCTTAAGGGCACAGATACTAAGTTAGGCTGTCCTTTCTTGCTATTTTACTACCATGCTTGCTCTGCTAGTATGTGTCAACACAGGGCAATGTACAAAGAATAAAATAAAAGCAAACTAAAAAATGTGTCCAGATTTTTAAAAAAAAATCTATCCCTAGTTCCAAGGCTGTCCTGAAAAGGGGAGAGAAGAGCTAACTGTCTGGGAGATAAACCCCTCAGTTTTAAGTACCTACCCCATCCCAGTCCCCCAAGAAATCTGGCTTTTGAGTGCTGAGCTGTGCTGCCTGTTCGATTCCTCTGCAAGCCTGGGAAGATGTGGGGCACTGCCATACCCTGCCAGGCCACCTTCCCCAGCAGAAGGGGCAGCCAGGAGGACCACTAAGTCCAGCTAACAGCAGAAGACAAGACATTACAACATCTGTATGTCCTGGCACATTATGTGCAGTTTACCAAGATGGAAACACATGCTTTCCCAAGACACAGTTAAGGGCTCTGTCTCATGGAGACACCAGGGAATTGGGCCCAGGTGGCATAAAGAAGGCTTGAAATCCTTCAGTACAAGCTCAGATTGAGAAAAGGGAACAAATGGAAGAGCACCTGAAGTCTTTACTTTTAAATTCATGCTTTTGGGGTTCTAACTTCTGGTGGCTCTAACCCATCCAGTGAATGCGGTTACAAGCCACGGCACTACAGCTGTCACACCTCAGGCTGTCCTACCTTTCAATCGACAGGCCTGGTGAGATATCTCAAACCTCTACTCACCAGGGAGACATTGTATTCGGAGCTCAATTCAGTGCCACACTCCAATTTTCATGCCTTATTGATGGAAAAAGGAGGAGGGGAAACCCCACAAAATCATCTTGGAAATAAGCCTTCTGATTTTAACTCCCTACCCTATCCCAGTGCTGGGTGAAGATTGCTTTGGAATAATAAATCTTGTTCTCCCCTTGATTCCTTGGAACCAGCTGAATTGTGGGAGAAGCAGCTCTGAGCTTCTGTAATAATAAACTGGCTGAGCCTAATAGGGGATGTTTTGCATTTGCATTAGTCTCACTCCCTTGCCACCCTCACCTGTCCCTGCCCCAGCAGTACACACACACTAAAAGCCTCCATAAGGCTATATAGGTGCTTGCCTGAATATGTACAAACTCCACAGGGCCTGGTCTACCCTGGTGCAGTTGAAAATGAAGGCAAGAGGAGGCCGCATCTGCTGAAACTGAGTAGAGGCCACGGCATGAGCAAGAGGGAGTCATTTTCTCAGGTGGCTCACACACATCTCACACACCACAGCATTGTCATTGCAGCAAAAGCATTAGGGTCTTCCCAGCGTGTACCTGATCTTTCAAATTTATTTCAGATATTTACATATGTTTGGGAACCCTGAGCCTCAACTCAGTGCAACTTGCAGCACAAAGCCACATCATGAAAAAATGAAACATTGCAAGGCAAGATAAACAAGACCTTTGTAAGAAGTTGGGTCTTGCTGAAAAATGTGACTCTTTTTAATGGAAGCCGTGTATTTCCATTGACCCAGAACACGCACAGACAAACCCTGATGAGGATGGAGATAAAAGGAGGAGAGAAACCACTGCTTTCATAAAATAGACAAGAAGTATCACAAGTACCAGAGAACAGCCTAGAAGCCTCCTGTCATGGCACAGCAATGCGTGGAAGGAAGAATCTGGCTTTAAAACAAGGCACTTGTTGTATTGCACAGCTGATCATCCCAGCGTGGATGTAGAGATCAGGTTCCTGAATTCCTCTTCAAAACAGACACAAGAGAACAAGGGTGCCATAGGTATCTGCTTTGAGTCATAGGAGATGGGATTTACATTCAGCTTCACTTCCAGCCTCCTGGTAATTTTGAGAAGTAGCATCTCTGGTCTGGCTGCTTTGGGGCCCCTGTCTCCTATGCCAACATCACCGTCTGCAGACTGCTACCAGAAAGGCAGTGATGAAGTCCTGCTGCCCAAGCACGATCCTGCAGGACATTCATACCAGTCTCATCTGCTGCTTCAGTCGCTGCCTTCCACCTTGTGTGGGGCAGTTGAAGCTGCAGGGTGGCTCCAGATGAGCACAAGTGAGTTAGCTCATCTTGTCTTGCAGGTTGCAGAACACCAGCTGGGCTGGGCAGTGCATGCTGCGGGTTTCAGTGGCAACGCTAAGCAAAGACAGAGACTTGCCTGGCCCATGGGTTTGTATGACTCAGTGTAGACCACAGACTGGAAGCTGTTTGGGATACCAACTTAAAAAGCAAGTCCCGATCTTTGGCTGGACAGAGATGTAATCTTGGCTGCAGCTGTGCTCAAAGCAGATGAAATTCTTCGCGTCAGCACTGATCTGGCACCGCAGAGGGTAGCTAGTGCCTCTCCTACAACCAGTTGTCAGCTCTCCTTCCCCCAGATGAACCCTTCAGATCTTCTTACAACAGAAAAGAAAACGTGCTAGTCCATGAACCAAACAGGCTGCATGAGTTGTGTAGGGATGGGCGTCCTTTTCCTCCCCCATGTCCTCCCATGTGCCCCTGTAATACCTTTATAGGCAAGACACAGCACATGGTCCACAATCCAGGGGAGGAAGGACACGGCTTACAGTAGGTGGAGTGAAAAAAAAGAAAGATGTCCAAGATACCAACCCCAAGGGTTTTCTTTACAGAAACTTGAAGAACAGCAGAACACATTTGCATGGCAAGAACATGGGATTCCCCAACTGCTGCTGTTGGTCTCGTTGCAAGGACCTTCAGCTCAGGTAGTTGGGGTGCTACGAGCAGAAAATGGGGCCCAGGCTTCCCAGTGCTGTGTTTCATTCCCCACTCCTGCCCCATAGCCCCTACCCCTGAGGCCACTACCCCTGGCAGTAGTGTGGAGGGCTGGGCCCTAGCTTACCAGGCCTCATGTCCTGGCCAAAATTTAACACCCAAGTCCTGCCTTCCAGCCCTTGGGAGATCCTTTCTATATCAGCCCTGGATTGCCCCTACATCTGAGCCCCTGCTTCATCAGCCCCAGACTCCTTTGCTGCTGTGACTTCCTCCACAGCGTACAGAGCTGTACCTGCATTCTTTCCCCATTTTAGAAAGGCTACAGCAATGGTGTGGAGCAACAAAGACAACGAAAAGCAAAAGTGGAGAAGGAAACAAACCGAAGTGAAGGACTCCTCACTTTTCTGGGCAGCAGAAGCTATGCCCTTTCAGCCAGAGGAGCAGGGTTGGCAAAGAGCGTTCTTGTAATGCCACTGTCACTGCCTTCCCATTCCTGCTATTGCCCTGGGGACTGCGGGGGCATGGGAAGAAGCAAAACACCCACTGACAGAGCTCATGGCTGCATCCCACGTAGCTCTGTGTTCCCAAGATGTGCCAGAGCCTGCCACCACCCAGCACACCTGGGGAAAACAACAGTCTGAGCCATGCCAACTTCACCAGGAGCTATGAAGGGCTTCAAAGGTGGCTATGGAAGATGGTGCCAAGAGTGCTCCACCCTCCCTAAATCCACCACACTCAAGGAGTGTAGACTGGAGCCATGGCTGATTGCCCATCGGCTACCCACAGCACCGGTTACAGAACAGGTTTCCCTTTCAAACATCCACCTTGCAGAGGATCCCTGCTGGGGAGTTACAATCCCTGTTCTAAGGGAGTCCAACGAAGGCAACTCAAGCAAATCATCAACCCCTCATTTTTCTAAATGAAGTGCCAGATCGAAGCTGGGCAGGCAGACGCCAATGCACACAGCATGCCTGTCAAGGCTGATGGAGCAGCTCAGTCATTTTTTAACCGCGATGCATGCATAGATGCTGCTGAAACCACTGCAGATGGAGCCTGCTGTGCTCTCACATTTTCGGGGCTGGGTTAGTCTCTGTCTCAGGCCCCAGGATCTATAGCACGTGATCTGTTTTGACAAGCTGAGGGAGGAAATGGCTGCTTGTACAAACTGACAGTTACCCAAGGGTTGTGTTGTACGAAGGCAGCTGCTAAGAGGGTTTGTAAAAGCAAACATTCTCCAGCCAGGGAGTATGTATGGCTGTTCTTCAAATAAAAGCTCATTTTAAGGGTAGGAGGCCTCTTCACACACTTAGGCAGGACCAGTCAATTAGGAGCAGATACTTCTGACCACTGCTGTCTTTCAATAAAGGACCAGCTCCAGACTCTCCAGAGGCTGAGCCAGAGTCCTTGAGTTTGGTTGGAAGACCAATTCCAAGACCAATTTGGAATCAGGAAGTGGTGTTTCTTGCAGTGGAACTAAGAGCGTATCAAACCCTGAAAGAAGCACAGGAAAAGGAAGGAGGAGATGGAACGGCTGTCGCTGTCACACTGTGTACCTTAGTCTTCTTGTGGTGCTGCCACTGCTTGTAAGAGGCCAGAAGCTCTGTGCTATGCGAGTAACTCGGGCCCTGTCAGG